ATTAGAGAGTCAGACTTGAGTGACCTACGGCTTGGAGGGTCAGACTTGAGTAACCCGCGGCTTTGAGGGTCAGACTTGAGTGACCCACGGCTTAGCGAGTTAGATTTAAGTGACCCACGACTTGGCGGGTTAAGTTTGAGTGACCCGCGTTTTTCGATCTTTTCGGTCGCCGTCTTGGACTTTAGCCTCCATACTTTGTGTAGTCTTGGTGGCTTTTTTTCCACTTCTTCCTTCTATAATTTTTTTGGCTTCTTGCATAAGAATTCTTACATGTGCAAGCAATGCGCGGCATTTCTGAATCCGCTCCTAAAGAGTCGATCGGGTCCTTTTGATGCGGACCCATTCGTTCTTCGCTGGTTTGAAGGAGGAGGGGTTGTCCGCCTGCTATTATCGCAGTTGGTGCCTACTGTACTTCAGATCCACTTCATAGCGGATTCCATCGACTGGCTCCAAGGCTTTGGCCAGCTGACGTGCAAGGCGTTGTTGCCGTCTCTGACGTGCTCTCTTTGATAGAATGAGAATGTTATCAGTAGTCAACTCCTTTCTCAAGGGATTCAGATCTGTAGCTTCAGCCTCATCGGATGCCGGTGGGGCATTGAGAGCAACAAGTGCAGCAGTGGTGAGAAGATCTTCTTGTTGGACGTCTGAAGCCGATGTCCGACGAGCTTTCTTGGAGTAGGCCTTCCTACACCTGCAAGGAGAGGCGGATTTGGAGGAGGAGGATAAGTACTCCTCATACATCTGTTGGTCGAACTCATATTTAACCTCTTCTTTAATGGGGATGAGGATCCTAGGTTGTGACATGTCAGCCTTCGCAGAAAGGCTGTCGGCTTCCACTGTGATCGCCAGCGTGTTTGGTAGAAAATTGATTTCATTAATGAGTCCATTATAACTTTAAACATTTACAATAAACTCAAACAAATAGCCTTTTTATAAGACTTTAAATCAAAAAAGATTACAACTTTCTTTCAAACTACACATAATAGTAGTTCTAACTCCTATTGCTTGTGCGGGATCGTTACCGGTGCCGCGGTTTATCCGTGGACCACCTATGGATCAAATCCAGTTAGAAGAAGATTGATAATCAATGCTCTTACTTCACGAAGGAAGTAATCGTAGCAGCGATAATCTCGACAAAGCGAGATCACGACTCTTCTCGAGATTAAGACTAAGCTTAAATCCAGAGGAATAGGGTGAAAACAAGTCTCTGATCTCTCGAACTCTCTTTTTTAGTAAGGAACTCCGCTAAGATCTACTAACTCTTCAGAAATTCGTACTCCACTCTCTAATTTGACAGCACTGCGCCCTCTTGATTTCTAGCGCTGTACAATAGAGGCCTTAGGCTTATATTTATAGGCTTAGAATGCGGGTATTTGGATCAGAATGAGTGATTTGGCCTTATCTTCAGTCAATAACGGCCTAACCACATTTGTGGATGATAGATAAACCCCTGGAATAGATAAATCCTGCAAAAACTACTTAAAAACTGTCGAAAACACGTTTGGGGGTCAAATCTGCGCGACGGGCACTGGTGACCCGTGTGGGCACGGGTCGGCTCG